CCGCTGCGCCCGCCGCTCGGGCGCCGGGATTATCGCCTGGCCCGCAGGGATTTCCAGTCGCCGCGTTCTAATCGGCCCGGGAAGCCGCCGGCCACGCCTGGGAATTCAGCAGGGGACCCGCTGGCTCCGGGCCCCTCGGCCGTGCCCCCTGAGAAGAGCACGGGCCAGAACCAGGAAGAGGCGCTGAGCCCGCCGCGGGCTGGGAGAGACGGAAGAAAACCGAAAGTTGCGCTCCAAGAGCGCGCCCCCCTCCTCGGGAGAGCTGCCGCTGGCCGGGGCTGGCCGCCGGGAGGCGACTCCTCCGGGACTGGGTGATAGGACAATCGACGACAGCAGTCCGACTATCCCGACTGCGGGCAAGACCCCAGCGTTTCCTCTCTGTGTCTCGGGAGCCCCCTCCAGACTCCATTAGCGGCCTGTCCTTTCAAGAAGAAGAAAAGCCGGGAGGAAGCCGGGAACGCGGGGAGCCGGAGCCCGCCATGGGCCGCCCGTGCGCGCTGGCTCTCGCTGTGGTTTCGGCCCTATTGTGCCAGGTGGGTCCTTGGGCTGCTATTCTGATGGGGAGACCTGGGCCCTGTGGTCTCAGCTGGGATGTCCCAAACCTGCAGTGTGTGTGTCTCGTGTCCGTGTCCAGGGCCTGCCGTGTCAGGGGGTGCCTGGGCCCTGCAGTTCAGGTGGTCCCCCCAGAGCTTGCTATGCCAGGTGGGGTGCCCGGGGCGCGGGCGCAGCGGATGAGCTTGGAGGTAGGAGGGGGCGGGAGCCCGAAGGCCACGCACACGGTCGGTGGGAGAGGCGATCTGCGGGGGCCTCCCCTGACCCGTTGCCCGCGGCCTTTCTGCCTCGCAGGTCTGGAGCTCCGGGGTATTTGAGTTGAAGCTGCAGGAGTTCGTCAACAAGAAGGGCCCGCTGGGGAACCGCAACTGCTGCAGCGGAGCGGCGGGGGGCTCGGGCCCGCCGCAGTGCGAGTGTCGGACCTACTTCCGTGTGTGCCTCAAGCACTACCAGGCCAGCGTGTCCCCCGAGCCGCCCTGCACCTACGGCAGTGCCGTCACGCCGGTCCTCGGCGTGGACTCCTTCAGCCTGCCAGACGGCGTGGATGTCGGCCACGCGTTCAGCAATCCCATCCGCTTTCCCTTCGGCTTCACCTGGCCGGTGAGTGCCTGCCCCGGAGGCTGAGGGGGTCCGAGGACCGTGGGAAGACCGTGGGATGGGCGGTACAAAGTCTGAGGGCCGGGCCCGTGAAACCCCAGGGCAGGTCCACGCTACCCGGTCTGGAGCCTTAGCGCTGGGCCGTCTCGCCCCTGCCCCTTGGCCGAGCTGGTGGTCTAGGGCTGAGGCCCAGGGGACTGGGCCTCTCTCACCCACCTGCCAGGCTAGCGTTTTATACTTAGAAGATAGAGGATGGCTCCCCTCTGGCTCCTCTTCAGCTTTTACAAAGCAATGTCCTGTCTAGCTCGCCTTGAACAAAACAAAACAAACACAAAAAACCAGGGCAGGAAACGGTTCTTTAAAAAGTTTTCCCATTTCCTTGAGGAAAGTGAAAACAGCCCAAAGATACACGCGGGCTCTCCTCAGGCCACACGCTCAGGCGCCTGGGACCGAGAGGGCATGACCTCGGGATTTGGGGGACACTTCTGGTCTTACGCCCCTCCCCTTCCAGGGTACCTTCTCTCTGATCATTGAAGCCTTGCACACGGACTCCCCAGACGACCTAACCACAGGTAAAGGAAGGGCCTGGCGCCTGGTTTTCTACGTTGGAGGCAGAGGGGTGCTGGAGAGCCCCAGGCCCACCCCATGCCTCTCCTCTATTTCCAGAGAACCCCGAGAGGCTCATCAGCCGCCTGGCCACGCAGCGGCACCTGACGGTCGGTGAGGAGTGGTCACAGGACCAACACAGCAGCGGCCGCACAGACCTCAAGTACGCCTACCGCTTCGTGTGTGACGAGCACTACTATGGCGAGGGCTGCTCGGTCTTCTGCCGGCCCCGCGACGACGCCTTCGGCCACTTCAGCTGCGGCGAGCGCGGGGAGAAGGCCTGCAACCCCGGCTGGAAGGGCCCTTACTGTACAGAGCGTGAGTCTGGGGGGAGCTGTGGCCTGGCCTCCGCTCGGGGAAGGTGGGCGCGGGGTTGGGGGCAGAGCGCCGGGCCCCAAGCCCACTAGGGTGGTTCTACCTCCCCTCACCCTCAGCGCTTATTAGCCCCCCCCC